TGTATAACTGATGGTATAAGAATGATATTTCAAAAAAATAGGGCCACAAGAGTCCTAAAGTTAGAAGAGTAATATAGAAGAAGGGGGAAAAGGGGATCCCTACCTTTAATAAACCTAAGGATACACACAACAAGACAGGTGGGAAGAGGTATAGCCAAAAGAGAGCCCTCCAGAATAGACACAGGAAACCAGTAACTAAAAAGGACCCTGCTTACTAAATGTCTAAATCCTAGAGTTCAAATGGTACGCCCTCTAAATCTCCCAGCAACAGGGACCCTAATGGAAAAAAGGTAAATAAAAGGTTAGGAGAGGGAGCAAATTAGAGGAGAATGCCCCCCAAAAAATAAATAATTATTGGGCAAAAATCCCTATAGAAAGCTGCTATCCCTCATTACCTCGGCACTGTGATGAATCACCAGTGCCTACCAAAAAACTAAGTCCCTGCCTGTCAAAGATTAATAGTAACTGATAAAATAAATTAAATTAAATTAAATTAAATCAATCCATCAGTGCTACCAAAAGTGCAAAACAAAAAAACAAAATAAGGAGAAGCTCAACGCGCGTTTCAGCGTTTCAACACGCCGTCGTCAGGAGCAATACTTCATACTGTATGCTTATTGGTCGGTTGCCCCTTATGTCCGCCTCTTATCAACCACGTCATATGACGTGGTATTAAAATGATTAGAAGGGCGTGGTAATAAGATTCAGGCAGTACCCATGTGGGGAAAGTATGAAGTTAATTCATCCGCAGAATTTAGAGTTCATTATGACACATTTTAAAGCCTTATTGGAGTATAAAGCTAAGGGGAGATTAGATAGTAATAGTAACTTGTAGTTCGTAAGAGCCCGGTTTGTATGCACGCATACTGGCTGCCAATTGGTCCAGTACCTATCCCGCTTGCCCATCTAACGATTGGGTCTGCCACTAGTGAATCACATCATGTGGTGTGATAACGAAAAGAATAAGAGTAAATGGGTACAGTATTAAAGTATACCCCCATGAGACCCAAATCAGCACCGAACAATTAGCACCGAACGTGAGTCACTTCTAACTGATGATAAGGCACAAGTACAAGATAGGAAATTAATCCGATGTATCGCCACATATGATGCAGGTTGGGATTTCATGATGGGTACATTGAAGCGCTTCTGGCCCATCTTGACATCTGACCCACAAGTGAAAGAGGTAGTCACCACATTCCCCTCTGTGACAGCACGGAGGGGTAAAAAACCTACGAGATACGTTGGTACAGAGTCATTTACCCCCTCTTAAAAGAGGGTTTCAAAACTATTTGCCCAAAGGGACGTATAGGTGCGGACATTGCAGTGCATGCGGATTTATCGATCAAAAATCTAAGGAATTCACGGACAGCAATAATAGAGAAACCTTTCCAGTCCGTTCGTTTGTTAATTGTAGGACGGAGGGTGTTATCTATTTACTTACCTGTTCATGTGGCATTAAATATGTGGGGAAAACGTTTAGACCCTTCAAATTAAGGATTCGGGAACATGTAAATTCGGTCAGAAGACCCTTAGAAACTCCAATCTCACGCCATTTGAGAATTCACCATTCAAATTCTGCTAATAAACTAAAGTTTATGGGAATAGAACATATCCCACAAACTCAACGTAAGGGTGATTGGCATAAGAAATTGAGGCAACGTGAATCCTATTGGATTTACAAACTCAAGACCCTCTCCCCCGTTGGCTTAAACGAGGGTTTTTCCTTCACCGCCTTCCTCTAATTCTTCCTTAACTCGTTATGTCTCTTCATATAATATTTCTTCTATTATTCCTTCTGCTCTCTATATTGGATGGAAATAAACTAAAGGGAATTTTAGTTAGTCCCTCTACAGATTAAATCTATTATACTTCAAATAAACACACTTTTATAATTTTCTATTTTGGGAATAATTTCCCTTGTTCCCGAATGATTATCACCTGGACTTTATGTCACCCACTTTTTTGGATTCTGAGTTCCTACTGTAACATTCTATCAATATATATATTATAGCACCACTATATTATAGTAATTATCTATCTATGCTATTTAATTCTAGCCATCATTTGGACATGTATGCTTAGGGGACATAGTTGGTCATTATTGTGGACCACGTGGTGATATAAAGCACTTACTATTTACGCTTCCTAGTGTTATGTCACTCAACACTAGGACTTTATTATGCCAAGTTTGTGTCGTTACTTAGTGGTTTACATT